CGCTATCCAACAAGGCTCTTGTTCAGATTTGATGGAGAAATCAAAGCTTCACAGGTAAACAAAAGCTAAAAATTGCAGCACTACCAAACCAGCTTTACAACAAATGTTAAAGGAACTTCTCTAGTCATCAAACCATAAGAAAAGAGAACAAAAAGAAGAAAGGGAGAAAAAAAGACCTACAAAAGATTGCTTTGGCAGTTCGGGGTTTTTTATGGCTCCATATAAATTTTGGAATTGTTTGTTCCAGTTCTGTGAAAAATGTTGTGAGTATTTTGACAGGAGTTGCAAGATATGTAGATTGCTTTGGGTAGTGTGGCCATTTTGATAATGTTGATTCTTCCAATCCAAGAGCACAAGATATCTCTCCATTTCTTTGTATCATCTTCAATTTCCCTCATCAGTGTTTTACAGTTTTCAGAGTACAGGTAATCTCCTTGGTTAAGTTTATTTCTAGGTGTTCTGTTGTTTTCGATGCAATGGAAATGTTTTTACCAGTTATAAGATTCTGGTTTTTGAAGTGAAAAAAAAAGTGAATGAAGGGCTGCAAATGGCAAAATATCCTTCTTTCTTATGGATGAGTTGTATTGCATTACATATATATGCTGCATCTTCTTTATCAATTCATCTATTGATGTGCACTTATGTTGCTTCCATATCTTGGCAATTATAAACAATGTTGCTGTTAATAACAGGGTGTATGTATCTTTTTGAATTAATTCTTATTTTGTGGTTGGATTTATTCCTTTGATAACTATGTAAGTTTAAAAAGCTAAAGCTCTAAACGTTCTTAGAAACAATGAACAGTTCATATACGTAAATTTTAAAAATATGTGTAGTATATTGTGTATATATATTCATATGCAATACATTGTATATGTGCAGTCAAATTATAACAATTCTACCTAATAAAATTGAAAAATGAAAAAAAATACACAAAGTGACTCAATTTAAGGGCTGGATATATGCTATTACCAAAGATCTGAGTATCAAAGTTAATAAAATATTAAAAATAGATACATAAATACACATGTGCAAGCCTGAGTCTGCTGTACGTAGAAAGGTCTACTTACAAATTTTGCATCTGACTAGCATGTAGGAACTTTGATTTGGGGTGGTTTCCCATCTTTCCTTGAAATGTTAAGTGTGACTCACTGTGCCTGGACTCTTTATACAGACAATATGGTTTATGCCAAACACTGGATTTCTATCTGGGAGACTGGAATTTTGTGTGTACTAGGCAGAGGATCCCTACATGACTACCAATAAAAGCCCTGGACTTATAGTCACAACAGAACTTTCTTGGTAGACAACATTTTACACATGTTGTCATAATTTGCTACTGGAGGAATTAGGCTTGTCCTGTGTGACCTTACTGGGAGAGAACTCTCGGAAGCTTAAGCTTGGATTCCTCCAGACTTCACCCCATGTGCCTTCTCCCTTTGTATCCTTTAGTGTAATATATCATGAGTACAATTATATGCTAAGTCCTATGAATCCTAGCAAATACGCAGGCCATGATATACATTAATGCCATGCACAGTTTATATATAAAACTTTAGAAGCTACAGAAGTTAAAATAAGACAAAAATGTTAAATATTACTGTTATATACAGGCTTTATATTTCTCAGTAACAGTGGTTCTGGCTATAAACCAAAGGACAGTCTTTAGATGTAAGTAACAGAAGAGTAGGATAACAGTACAGTCATACTCTTGTTGTGAGCTATAAATACATACATAAGTAGAAATAAAAAAGAGCCATTATTAATTATGTCATAAATAAATTTATTTAAATAGATATTTAGCTTAGAATTCTAACGCCAGCAATCTTTCTTAAATGTAAAATAAACTGAAACACTCTTCCATGATTAACTGTGCTCATTTCATGAGTTTAAAAAAAAAAGTAAAAAGATTGAAAATGACTTACCTTTTTAATCTTGGCCTTTTCAGCCTTTTCTTCTTTATCACATTTCTTGGCATTCCTATTAAGTTCTTTTGCAGCAAACTTCAAGTTAAATAGGTGTTCTGAAAATATATGTTAAGGTTAAAATTAAGTCATTTTCCAACCTAACTACCTGAAAACAAGATGTTAAAGTTATAAAACCTATCAGATAAGATTATGTTATTTAAACAAATATTAACAAAGTGTTTGAGGAAACAGAATAATTTTATCTCTTCCACATTTGTTTTCTATTAAAATAAACATAATTAAATTAACTGTGAGGATATTAATTACAAAAGGAAAAACAGCAACTGTATAGTAGAGAAATCTGGCAGATATCACTTTACCAAGTGATAATATCGCCAGTAATAAGACATTTCAACTTCATTTACCTTCTGAAATAATGAACTTGAGAAAGGTACAGCATTACTTTTACAGTGTTGTTGTCAAAAACATAATCACAGTCTACTCAAGAGAAAAATCAGGCAGTCCTGAACTGAGAGAGAGATTCTACAATGTTACTGACCAGTGTTCTCTTCAAATGTCAAGTTCATGAAAAGCAAAAAAAGACTGAAAAACTGTTACAAAATAGAAAAGACTAAGGAGCCACACTGACTAAATGCAAGGTGGGATTGGATCCTGAAACAGAAAAAGGACATCAGGGGAAAAACTGGTGAAATCCAAGTAAGATTTGTAGTTTAGTTAGTAATATTGTGGTGATGTGGATTTCCTTTGGTTAATAATTATACTATGTTTATGTAAGATGCTGACATAAGGAGAAGCGTGGTAAAGGGTATAAAATAATTCTCTGTACTATTTTTGTAATTTCTCTTTAAGTCTAAAACTATTTTAAGATTAAACTTTTTAATTAAAAAAGACAAACATATAATGAGAAGAAAAGTGCTCCATTCAGTGAGACCCCAATAAGCAATAGCATAAAATTTCCAATTTCATGACACAAAAACAAATATGAAATATAAACACATGACTATGACAACACAATGTGGACTACTTCAAAACCAACTGCTTTGTATCATTATTAAATCACTAGTTAGGAAGATTATATTTGTTTTCTCCTCTTTAAAAAATGTAACATCTACTCTTTTTTAACCTTGATTCTGTATTTCTTTGGGACATCTATAAAAAAGATGTAGGTTCATTTTTTTGAAAGATACCCATACACTATAGAGTTTAAAGCGCTGACTTTTGGATTGATTATATCACCATCAGAAAATAAGAATTATTTGATTATTTGCCAAAGCTAAATCATAAATTAAACTTGTTCATCTCTCAATGGCTTCATGGTTCTAAATAAACTATTTATGGATAATGAGAGTGATGAATTTGCTACCTTGAGTATTTATCAACAACAGATACACGTAAAATTCTTAAAATAAGTATATATGTATGAATTTTGGAATAACTTTAATGAATTCTATACTTTACATTTTTAAGATTTATCGGTTTCAGCTAAGTGACTGAGAAACTTACAGCTCCTTTTATAAATAAGGTTTTTCAACCTAAGTACTATTGATATTTTGCGCTAGATAAATACTTCATTGTGAGGGATGCCTTGTGAACTCTAGGAAGTTTATCAGCATCCTTGGCCTTTACCCACTAGATGGCACTAGCATCCCCCAACCAAAAATGCAACAATCATGAAAAAGAATGCAACAATGAATATATGTATGTTCATATATAACTGGAAAATTGTGCTCTACACTGGAAACTGACACAACACTGTAAACTGACTATAACTCAATAAAAAAATGCAACAACCAAAAATGTCTCTAGGCATTGTCAAATGTTACCTGGGGAGGACGGCAAAATCAAACCCTGCTGAGAATCTGAATCACTGATACAGATGGAAATAAATAAAGAAAAAAAGGAATAAATTTTTCATTTCCCAAATCATCTCCCAAATAGACTTGATGTCTCAGTAGAAAAAGTCATAGTTAAAAGCTGAATTAAGAAGCCAATTATTTTAGATGAATTCATGTAGTTTGTATATTATTTGCTATTTTTTAAAGAATTATTTCAGTATCTTTTAAATTTGAAATTTACTCTAAACTACCAATGCTGAGGACTGACTACTGGATGCCTATTAAAGCCAACTCTAACTTAATATTAATAAAGATTGATCATGATATAAATTAGCCAAAAAATTAATAGGAGATCCATTATAAAAGTCCATTTAATACCATAAAACTTTCTTCCGTTTCATCCTAAAGAGACATGAACCACTTCCATAAATATGGAGGCCTAGACATTTATGAAAAACACCCTGAAAAACTGGATAAACTACAACCAATGTCCTTTAAATACAGAGCTTGGATTGAAAAAAGGAAAATCCTCAGGAGAAAGAAACAAAGAACTAAATACCAGTTGCAGGTAAGCACTGAAGCCCATGAAGACAAAGGCCCCTATTGAGTCTACACAAGATGAAATGCTGGAAATGAATTTTCTGAGTAAAGCTAGAACCTTTGAAGGCTACAACACTAGGATAAGGATGAGACAGAAAGAAGTTTTATTAGCTGGCAAAGGAAGATGATATGACAAGATTAACTCATTATGGGCCTTTGCTCATGGCTAGGGACAGAGCAAACTAGATAAACAAAATTAGACAAACTGAGGAGAAAATGAGCAACCTGAATATAGATCTGAAATAAGATTAGAGTAAAAAAAATTAGGTTAATATGAAAGAGAGGATAAAAGATAAAGAAAATAGAATTAAAAAGTCTAATATCTGGAACAACATAAAGACATAATAAAGAGAATGTGTAAAAGGTTACATTCAAAGAGATAATGCTTGAGAGTTTGCCATAATTGATGAAAAAAAGAATAAAATCTTTTAGATTTGGGAAGCAAAACAAAAAACCAAACAAACAAAAAAATCCTAAGCAGGACACATAAAAATCAATCCACACTTAGACACACCATAGCAAACCTTTAAATACCAAATACTAAAATATTTCAAAAAGCCATAGTAAAAATTCAGATTACTTATAAAAGAACTAAAATCAGTCTGAGCACAATTTACAAACAAAATGCTAAAGTAACTTCCAAAGGATGTACAGTGGATTCACATTATTCACAGTAGCTATGTTTCATGAAACCACTGCAGAGAATTAATGAGTACAGAAACATTGCTCCTAGAGGAAATACAGGGTTAGGTTCCTGTGAGACTCTGGTCATAACACTTTTGTCAACCTATGAATACATTACCTTGTTTTATGTATATTTTTGTTTTAACACATTTTACTTAATATATTGCTGACTCATTAACATTGAATTCATGGCCAAAAGCATTATAACTCATGCCTGAAAGAAGCTTATCTAACACACGTATATTCTACATAAGGGACATCACAGTCTTGCACTTAGGAACACTATACAGCACGTCAACACTATACTTAGGGATTAGAAAATTTACCAACAAAATGCAAAAAAAAAAAAGTGGCACCTGACAGAAAGTGAAAAAGACACTTGTTTACAGTATGAGAGCTGAAATAAGAAGGCAGAGCATCAGAATGTTCACCCTCAGCTGGGAACATGCTCCTTTGCCCCCAACTCTTCACTGCCTGAGCATGTTCACAAATAATCCTGAAAGCATGGTAAAGACTGATTTCAGGTTAAAAATAGAGTCTAGTGTGTAGGTGAATATGCAAATACAGAATCTGTGAAAAATGATGACCAAATGTACTTCACAAGAAATAAAATTTAGGTCTGGCATAAACAAAGGCTTAGTGAGCACAGAGACTAGTAAACACATGAGTAAATCCAGAGAAACACTGACTATAAGACAACTGTAATGTTTGTTTTTGGAGATAAAAAAGGCAGAACAAACATAACTAGACAATAAAAACATAGGACAGAGGATGAGGTGACAAGCTAAATGTTTAAAAATCCAAGAAAAGATTTCGAGTATTTAGACATTAAATTAACTATCCATGTAAAAATGTGAAGGGTACTGCTACGGAAATAGCATGTGACTTCTAAAATAACAGGGAAAAAAGGGGTGAATCACTTAATAAATCCAAAAGAAGGTAGCAAAAGTGAACCACAGAGAAAACAGATAAACAGAAATTGTAAAATAAAAAGAAATATCCCCAACATGTGAGGATAGATTTTAAAAATAATGAAACAAATTACAGCTATGTGCTTTAAACAGGACTTTAAATCATAAAAACAGAAAGGCTGGATTTAAAAGGCAGAAAAAATTATACCATACAAATACTAACCTTAAAAAAAGTTTTAGTTTTGTTTAGTATCAATCAAAACAGACTACCTAAAAAGAACTTCAGAAAATTTTAAAAAGTGGGGGCCACTATAAAATGCTAGAAAGTAAATTCACAAACTGATAAAATAATTCTAGATATCCATATTCCTCTACATAGCCTCAAAGTGTCTTTGTGTATACATATATAAAACTGACAGAGAAAATTATCGATCTTGGTAGATTTTAAAAAAACTTTCTCAGTAACTGACAAAACTAAGTAAGAATATAGAAAATATGAAAGACCATATTAAGAAGTTTAATTAACATAGAGAATTACAGCCAAACCTGTACCCAATAATTTCAGAAAACATATCATTTTCAAGCAGATGAAACATATGAAAACTGATCATACACTGAGCCATAAAGCAAATCTGAAATAATAGATATCAGACAAACCTGCTGTCTAACCACAACTCAATAATGAATTTATTAATGTGGGAATGTGTTCCACTATTTTTCTTTAAGAATCTAATAAACTGTTCTAGGATTAAAAGTTTATTCCATATAAATATACACACATCTCTCTCTCTCTCTCTCTCTTTCTATATATATATATATATATATATATATATATATATATATATACACATATACATATATATATACATATATATATATGTATATATATATACACATATTTGGAAAAGACTATACATATGGATTAAAGCAAAACATTTTAAAATATTTAGAATTAAGTGACAATGAAATGAGTGGAATGCGACTTATGAGATGTAATGCTAATGCCATACTCAGATGGAATTTTCTAGCCTTAAAAATTCACATTACATAGGAAAGTAGGCTGAA